GCGGCCGTCCAATATCATTCGGCTGTCTCATCTAACTCGGCTTGATTTTTTTCTGCCAATATGGGACAGTTTGCTAGAGCATACAGTTAGGCCTCGGAAAGTTTGATTGAAATCTCGAACGAATCGATATTAAAATGTGCATTATTTTGTATCTATTGTTCCGAGCTGCAAGCGGTCTCATTGAATTTGATATTCATCGGTTTAAATCTGCAACGAGATTATCTTACCTAATGTTATAAATTGCTACTGTTAACTTTGATGCTCCATAAAAATCAATTGTTAACGATCTTCGCCATTAATATTTAGAATCTATAATAATATTTTTACTTTGGTAAAGATTTTGTTCGGTGCTCTGCGAGTTTAAACATTACATTTTAATGTCTTTGGTTGTTGTGGTTAATGTTTGAAGGTTGATTGAGTTACCCCGACGCGGCAGCACTCAATTAAGCTGCTAATTAATGCTGGAGCGTCGCTGCCTCTGCACTTCACGTCACTCGACCAAGTTTCGCTAATTGAAAATAAATATAAGCTGAGTCTTGCTATATTCCAGAGGGACACAAAAATACATAGAATTAGTATAAAGTTTAAATTCATAGCATTGAAGTTTGTTCGTTATAAAATTAATTATATTAAATTATTTGTTATTAAATGTTCATCATATTTTAAATATTTACTCAGCTTGCATTTACTCGAATCAAGTCACCTGAGTCAAGTCACTCGAATCAAGTCACTCGTGTCAAGCCCTTGATTTTGTCTTTCAAGCATTTTGCGTTTTTTATCCTTACCCTTATCAGCTTGAGTCCCCAGCTCGTTCACCTTACCCTCACCCTCCTCCTGCCAAATGAATAGGATCATGTTTGCTCTCAGTCGTGTTGACATGGAGTCTTTTGCGGCACTGGCTTCTAAGTCCTCACAAGCTCTGTAATCAAGCCGTCGTATTCAGTGCAGCTCACTCTTAGCAACACTTTTTTTTTCTGCAGTAACCCTTTGAATATTAATAATTCGGACTTTGCTGATCAGTGGCAGACGTTAGTTATCATATATGTCGATCAATTTGACACGTGAATATAAGAAAATTGGCATATACACATTCTGGCATAAAATATATACGCCTCTATATGGAAATTTGCTATTGCAAAAGTGCGACACGCTATGTGGTGGGTGCCCGGGATAGTGTGTCTCCAGACATTGTCGTGGATGGTGTGTATAGTTGTTTGCTCCGGGTTGTGAGACGCACTGTTTACGTAGGCGATTACAAATTACCAGCTGATGATTTATGATTAATTTTGTGATAGTACGAAGCCTGTGTGTAGGACGAGTCAGTGCCAAGCAAGTATATATTTATGTTATACCTATGCCAAAGATTGATTTAATAAGAAAATGTTATATTATTATATATAAGTTACATAATATTATAACTTATTATATAAGTTATTAACTTATCTTTTCAGTCATAAATTTCTAATTATTTAGTCACCGATGATTCACAATTGCAAAATAAAATATGTGGAGACTCATACAACACAATATTCAAGGTATTACTCCGTCGCAAAATTTACAGCAGAGTTAGATGTAATTTATTTATTTTTGCAAAATTTTCTGCTGAAATGACTTACCAACATCCAAAATAATAATCCAAATTTATAATAAAAATCACTTGACTTCCAAATTATCGAAAATTGCATCTAGTTTGTGAGATTTAATTATTCTTTAACGCGAATAATTCTGTGGCGCTAGCGTTCAGTCGAACGAGCTTGAACTGCCTCGATCGAGTGAAACAATTAATATCTGCTTTTAATATATACAATTTTTTATTGCACTGCGCTGTACCACAAATTGGTACAACTTATTATACATATAGAATACTTATATGAAAATACGAAAATGCTGCACATGAATAAAGTAGGTAATATTGACAGTAGGTAATATTGAACATGTATTATGCATGAATGCTAAGAATGCGTCGCCGTTGTTGCGAGACCGTGGGAAAGGTTGTTTACATTGAAACGTTGGCGCTCAGCGCGAGGGACATTCCATTCGAAGGAATGTGCGTCAGTTCGAGGGTTAGGCTTAACTGTGCGCGACTCTAGCGTATATAAGGACCTCAGATTTCGCGCCAAGGGTTGTTGTTGGTTCTACGGCGGAGACCGTCACGCACGTACGGTCTGCTGCGGCCGTGAGGCCGCGGTGTTACCGTTTTCGAACATTGACGGTCGCGACTTGCGAGAAACTTAGACTCACCGAGGCAGTTACGATTCCTGTGAGTGCGTACATCTGTACGATACGGTCACGATTTCCATCAAGAAGAAGCGGTACGATATTGTATTCATCTTCAACCGCCGAAGCACCGCATTGAGCCGAAGTAACATCATCGACAATGAAGACTAAGCTGCTATTCTGAAGTACGGTCATCATCAACTCTACGGCCAGACTGGCCGTGAGGCATCTATATCAACGAGATACGACAGCTATGAAGAAAGAGCAACTGTGAAGAGAGACACGCGATACAGCTGCAGTACGGCCACCTGAAATACGGCTGCAACGCGCGGCGACAGCCTCGGTACGGTCGCGGAACGTACAGCCGTAAATATGTGCGCAAGTTTACGGTCGTTTACAACAGTCGTACGGCTCAACGGAACTGCAACGGATCACACGCTTTTTCCGGTAAAATTAGGTGATTTTACATGATGATGATTTAACTGTTAGATTTCGGACTTTGATTATGTTCAGCTCACCTTTTTCATGTACTAGAGATTTTTTGTTAACGTAGGATGTGAACTTGAAAAATTTCTCAATTTAATATGAAATGTATCAGTGTTTCATTACACCCTCTCTCTGTACTATATTTTGCCGAACCTGTCCAAAAAGAGAACCTTATTCACGTGCCAAATCAAATGCCACTCGGCAACCGCCTGACAAAACGATAAGTAACGAATACCGGTATCTTGAACCTGAACCTGAACGTAACGTAAAATTGGTGGAGAAATCACTCAGAGTCACCCAACTTTAAAATATATGAGACGATAGGAAACGTCGTCTCTTTCCTATTTATTTTTCCCTATTTAATCACACATGAAACATTGTTAAGCAATCAATTCTGATCTCAGGCCGCTCAGCCTGCTTCTGTATAACAGATGCTTCATGCCCTACAGCCTTATTCGTAATGCCTTTATCATGCCTCACCTACAGCCTCATTCTTCATGCCTCAACGCCTCGCTTCTTCGTGACACCTTATCCAGGGGAGATGATGGCCTCACGCCTCGCTCTGTATTCTCGTGCAAGCGCATCATGCCTCATACGTGCATCATGCCTCATATCTTATCTCTCATGCATTATAAGCCTCACGCCCTCGCATCACGCTTCACGCCTCACGCTTACTGCCTCAATCACGCCTCACGCGTCATCAGCCGCCAAACTTCCATAAACACTTGAAGTTTCGCGGCCGTCGTGCCCTGAATCAGAGATCCATCGCCACCCAAAGATCCCGAGGAGATCCTGCACCAAAGATCCTTAGGAGATCATGCGTTGAAGATCCCGAGTGGAACCTGAATTGAAGATCCCGAAGAGATCCTGCACTAAAGATCTCGAGGAGATCCTGCACTAAAGATCTCGAGGAGATCCTGCACCAAAGATCCCGAGGAGATCCTGCACCAAAGATCCCGAGGAGATCCTGCACCAAAGATCCCGAGGAGATCCTGCACCAAAGATCCCGAGGAGATCCTGCACCAAATATCCGAGGAGATCCTGCACCAAAGATCCCGAGGAGATCCTGCACCTAAGATCCCGAGGAGATCCTACGTTAAAGATCCCGAGCTGCAGTAATGGATTGAAGATTATTTTGTTTCAGTCGGATTTTTGGCTTTCACATTTTTCACATTAGTTAAGGCGACGGATCGTACATTTTTGCATGAGGTGTGGTAATGGATCGCATATTTTAGTTTTGTCAAGGGTAAATGGTTGTAATTAAAGTCTCCGTTAGCTCAACGTATCGTAAGAATCGTAAAGCTTGCAGTAGCTCGGAGTAGATCATTAACACCGTAATTTCTGTTTAATGTTGTTGAATTTTTAGGTTTATCATTACGAAACGCAGCTGACTCACCGCAACTGTTTCACAACACACATGTTTTCAATTCATGATTTGTCTTTTATTGTTTGACTCCTACACGTTTGACTGCAATGTGCTGTCCATCATAACAAATGAAGCTTTCAAGCGTGAGTCCAGAAAAAGATATGAATTTTATTTCCATTTGCGATGAATTATTCACATCAACTCATACAGGATCGCCATTTTCAATCTTGTGACAAACACTACACATGTAGGTTAACTGTATACATGTGTAGTGTATGTTACACTACACATGTAGGTTATGTTATGTGTATGAATCAGACAAATACAATCATCCACTTTATCCTTTATTTCCAAGCATGTGTAACTTAAAATTTTTTGTAGTTCTTGTAACCATTAATACCCACATTAAGATTGAAGAACCCATTACTTGACAATATCCATCACTCGATATGGCATTATCATTAGAATTCTCATCTTTGGATTAATTATTTTTCTTTCCGTCCCTGGAGACACCCTGGATAAACATCAAGGCTCCACACACCGGAGCATCTGTTTAAATAAGACTTAATGCTCGCTTGCAACAAAGCTCGTCAGTTTTTCTTCCAGTTTTTGGCTGGCTTTTATAGAGGCGGAAACAAGCTCTTTAGCCCGGCATTTGCATATCGGCTTCCGATGCCGGCGCCGGTCTACAGAATTTCGCTGCAGATTATTTTGCCTGCCAGCTTCTCATTTATTCCCTTCAGATTTCTTTGTTGAAAAAACATCCCTCGAGGAATGACGCGTGAGTAAGTCTGCTGGTGATCGAAGAAGACATGAAATAATATATTATATGTCCGTGGACAATTTTACTGTCATCTAATAACACAAAATATCATAAAATTTTCAACAGCTACGAAAGACAATATTTAAAAAACTGACTCTTCTATTGCAGATTCAATGGAAAGTGAATATTGATTTAATTATTATTTTTGTTGTCTAATATCAGGAAGTGTATAACTAGAGTAAAATTTCTACTTCTGTGAAATGGAATCTGAAGGAAATGACTCTGAAATGTTGGGGCACACAAACCCTGATGTAGTTAGGCCCACAGACCATTTATTGACGGGACCCACGGCCCCTGTTGTTATAAGGCCCATGGACCCCGAAGAGATGGTGCTCGACGGCCCCGAGGTCGCCGCAACGTCAGCAAGTAAGGAAGACGAGTGTCGGGTACGACAGCGGCAGATTGTTCGTGATGACGAGGATGTCCAAGAGGCTGATGATGGAAAGGATGTCCAGCTGACTAATCATGGAGATGAGGGCAAGAAATTTGATGGAATAAGCTCCATGGACAAAGAAAATGAGGCTAAAGAAAATTCCGTTAACTTCGAAGGAAAAGAACTGGTGGCAACGGAAAAAAAGGACCTGAAGGCCGAAGAAAACGCCTTCGAGACCAAAGAAAGCAATCTAAAGGCTTCTGAAAGCGACTTAGAGGACAAAGAAAATGACGTAAAGGCCACAGAAAACGACTTTGAGGCCAAAGAAAATGACGTAAAGGCCACAGAAAACGACATTGAGGCCCAAGAAAGTGACGTAAAGATAGACAGTAAAGGCTACGACACGCCCGACACCGACCAAGAGGAGGAAGAGCGACGCCGCCGCGTGCTGGAGTCCAAGAAGAAAGGGACGAAGCTCGTGCAGCGCATGAGCTTCAAACGCGACAGAGCCGACCGCCACTACGACAAGTGAGAGCAATTAACCTGTAAACATTAACCTGTAAGTAGTAGGTAGTTATCTCACACTCTTGTCAGGACCAATCAACCTTTAGGCAGTATGTAGTTACTTATAAATTTTCTGATTTAAATTGCTTCCGTAATTCTAAAAATTCGTTATAAACAATTTATCTTCATGATTGAATATATATTTGATAAGATATACCTCAAATAACTCAAAATATGTGCGTTCGGCGAAGTAGGGGCTAAGAAGGATTATCGTCCAGTGTCAGATTGGCTAAATTGAATTTCTATGCTGACTTTATCTCTTTTATCTGATTTTTCGACTAGCTTTACTTGAGAGATTTTTGAAACGCATTTGATGCGGAAAACAAAAATTATAGTCATATCTGGTTCTACTGTATTTTGCTGTTTTTATTCTAGTTATTATGTATGCATGAGTTTAGACCCTAATTAACTTTTAATAACAAACATTGTTTAAAATAAAATGAGGCAATTCATGAGAAACAATTTGACTCCATGCTACCTTCATCCTCATGAAGTGATGAACGTTCTACTCTATACAAGTTCAAGCATAGCTCAACATGGATACAATTTCTACACCATTAAAAATGTATCTGCATGACTGTATATGTCGTGTCAAAATCGCGGAGATGCCGATTCTATGGAAGCGGCAGCCAGTTGACCAAATGTGTAGAATCAGCATTTGGTTTACTGATTCAAAAAATCGGACGTTAGAGTTAGAATTAGAACATAAACAGACAGTTAGAGTTAGAAAAGGTTAGGTCAAGTTCGATCAAGTTCATTTATATTTACATATTAAAATACAAATTGGCTGACTGTCCTACCCTCAGATTCCTATAGTATAGAAATGCTGATTCTACAAATTCGGCAAACTGGCAATTCTGCCAATTCGGCACTACATATATATTTCGTTCATACAAAAAATTGTTCATACGATTTCTCGCCGAGCTCGCAGAAGCAGTCAAGCCAATCATTTATTTTATCATGGCAAAACCTACTCGAATTCCTCATCCGTATGTAAATTTGTGCATATTCAATGACAAATTGCTGGCTTCCCAGGCAAACTTCTGTTATTATCAAAAATTTTATTTTTCCGCTTATATGATCATGTATTTGTCAATCATGTATCCATTGTGGCGACACCTGCCTTTAGTTCCACAAACTAGTCGAGTTCCCTCCACCCACTCTCCGTTCTTAACCTGGTCTTCACTTTAAACTTTGATCCCGCATTTAACTTGGCCTCCAACTCCTCTAGTGTACAGAAATGCTGCACAACTCAGGGCTGTGCTTTTGACTGCAGGTAACTGAACCTAAAGTAACTGCACTACCTCATTCAATTTTGTACATGACTCATTATCTCGAACTTCCTTGAAGGCAATATATGTATATATTTCTTACATTTCTGTAAGTAATAAATCGTTAAATTTGTTAGGTTTGAGAAACTACGGGATGTTAAGTAATAAAAAAAGGTATTACTATTCAATTCGAATAATAATATTTCAAGACATAATGCTTCGAATATTTTTTCAAAGTATTTGATATTGTACGCGTTAGTGTAACTTCCGATTTAGAAGGAAATTATTAAAATGTCTATTAAAATTTTCAACAATACGCAATTACGATAAGGAAATCGTACACAACTTCCAGACTGATCATCACACTCCATCATAACTTCATGTCATAAGTAATTCATTTTTTTTCCACCGTCAATACAATCCTTGAAAATTTAACGCCTCAATATGAACTTCTACTTCACTAGTCTGCACGTTTCTCCTGAATTAAAAACAATCCCGTCCCACGAGACTTGAAAATTGTTACCTTATTTTCTTCTGAATTCGCTCCAGTAAAAGTATTTTCCAGTGGAATTATTTTTCCAGGATTATCCGTGCGGAAACTGCTGTCATGGCTTGATTCCTGGCAGATAACTCAGCGAGGCTCGGTCATATTCCCAGTCGCATTCCGGGATCAGGAACGTGTCTGGAAATCTGGCCGCGGAACATTAGAATGTCCTCGGAAGTGTAAAGATTTCGCTATCTTTTGGTTTTTGCTCAATGAATATTCTCGCAAATTATTCAGATAGAGGTTAGAATAGAGCGTTGGGTGCAAATAGAAGAATTGGAGGAGCGGAAATTTGAATGAAGAATGAGTGAAGATTGTCGACAGGTTTACGAAATTTCGGTTATATCTTGGTGCAATAAGTATTAGTAACATGCATATGTCGTTAACAGAGAAAAAATAAACTCTGCTACTCCTAAATCGTAATGCTTGACGCATCTTAATCCTTAAACCGTGATTACGTCGCCCTAAAAGCAGGAAAACGAACATTTATGAATAGGTCAGTGTAAACTCGAACCAACTCCTATAATACGACCTGTAACTTCTCTATGCCATGTCTACTACAAAAACGCATATATTGACTTTTCCAATCCGGAACATGTCACAATGGGAGCTTAACTTGACATAATATTGCATTAATCTGCACTTACAAACCCACCATATACAAACTGTGCATGTCGCAACGAATCTTAACGTTCACTTACCTGCCTCAACCGACCATAATCTTCCCTTACCTTACTTTAACCTACCCAAACCTACATCACCAGCCCTAACCTTCCCTAACTGGCCTTAAACTTTCCTATCCTGCCGTAACCTGCCTTAAACTGCCGTAACCTGCCGTAATCTGCCTTAAATTGCCATAACCTGCCTTAACCTGCCTTAAATTTCCGTAACCTGCCGTGACGCAGACTGCCGTGGGGGGTGGGGGCAATCAGCCGCCTGCTGAACCTGGCGCCGGCGCGGCTGCCGTGGCACCGGCGCATGGAGACGACGGCGGTGCTGCTCTGGATGTCCAGCTTCTTGTTCATGGGCTTCGCGGCCACGGGCTTACTGGTCTACATGTTCCTGTACACGCAGTACTGGTGAGTGTCTGCTGGTCTACGTGTTCCTGTACACGCAGTACTGGTGAGTGTCTGTTGGTCTACGTGTTCTTGTACACGCAGTACTGGTGAGTGTCTGCTTGTCTACATGTTCTTGTACACGCAGTACTGGTGAGTGTCTCCTGGTCTACGTGTTCCTGTACACGCAGTACTGGTGAGTGTCTGCTGGTCTACGTGTTCTTGAGTGCGAATCTATCATTAATAAATCTTAACAATTGACAACATTAATCGCAGTATACCTTGTTTTGGCAAAACAAATGCATTTGATTGCTGCATTAAAAATTTCCAATGCTAAGTTCAACTAATACCGAATTTTTTTTAAATGAAACTTTACACTCCACATTATATGGGTCTATAATATATATTATATATTAATATAATAATAATACACTCTATTATACGGTATATAATATATATATCTATATTATATATATATATATTTACACTACTGGCAGGTGGCTCAGTTTGTGCTACTTGTGCTGGTATATTCCCGACCGCTCCATCTGCAACCGCGGGGGCCGCAGGTCAGTTAACACATAATAATAATTATCTAGTGAGTGTCATATATTATGGAATGACATTATTTGAATGGTGAATATTATGGTAAACATAAGCAATGTTTCTGCAAATTTTAATTTATCCTGGGGTAACTGAAGACTGAAATCAGACAGTGTTAGGGTGATTACCCTTAAACTATATACCTAAAACTTATTGGTCAACTTGAGTATTGAGCAATTACTCTATTTATCATCCATGCATGACTCTTCGCCTGCTAAGTTGGTCGGCTACTAACACACCGGCAACAACTTAGGCCTAAATACATATCCCTCCTCTTCGTTCCAACAAGTTATCAGCTAGGCTTTTTCATCTTTTACTCAATACAATCATCCTATTCATCCTCCTAGTATATCATCTTCTGAACTAAATTTATCATCATAATGATTCAAGTGCTACTCTATAGATATATCATCTCCCTCCTTCCAATATATCCTACCTGGGATCGGCCATCTGTTATAACCTAATGTCGGAACCCTCCGCGGAGTCACCGTACACTCAAAAAAATATTGGTGTAGTTTGGCAGAAGATTTTCTTTAATGCAGGTTTCATTGAAGACCAGAGAGTATTTCTTATTGACAATTTTCTTATTGTTTTTCTCTATTCGGCGAATTAAGCTCTTGATAGGAACTGAAAAGTCAAATATCAGGTTTCCAAGGGACATTTTATTATAATTTTAATTTTACGACGTTTCGAATGCAACTTCATTCATTATCAAGTACAGAGGACGAGTTTTGCAACAAGTGAATTTGAAATTTTGAAATGACATTAGTACAAACATAGAGTATTATGGATACAGATTGGAATCAAAGCTTGAATTACGAGAACAATTTTAACGTCCTGACAAATCCGGTAGTTTGCAAATTAATAGCTGGAGACTCC